AAACCGTGTAGCCCTGGCCGGTTCCACTTAATGCTTTTGTCAGGATATTTGGTTTTGCTAACGGAAATGAAATCGTTTAATCGCACTGGTCTAACCTTAAAGTAGCGACCCACGAATACAAGCATGCAAGTAGGCCATATGATGTAAATCGGATGAAGTCAAGATAACGGTGGAGATGGGTGTTTGGCAAATGGATGGTTTCGATTATTCGCGTTGCAGGAATGCTTGAAGAGGGTATGAAGTACTTCAATTGGTAATGGCTGCTTCTCAATGCAAGTACTTTTCCGAAATTCCTAAGGACTTTGTCTGGCATGTGGAGAATTCACGGTCTCGTGAGTAGGAGTAGCTAATGGAATGGTTGGCATAACTGCTCTAGCGACTTTTGGATGCTCTGTGCCTTCATTTGCCCAAATGCCTAACGTTTTAGCCCACACGAGTTTCCGCAATCCAATCCAATACTTCGGATATTTCACAATAAGCCTTACTAAGTTTATCATTTTGGTCACGCTGTAGAGTTTGGGTTTTTTTATTCCTTATGTCCCCAATCAAAGCAAGCTAAATCTTGCTTGTCAAAGTCAGTAGTGCTCTTTAAGTACAAGTCTTGTGAAAATAATGATGGCACCAATATCGATTTACTAACATTATAGAGAATCCGCATGCCAATTCAAGTGAAGCAAGGCCACCAATGGAAAGCAAGTCAATCCCTCATAATATTTCCGAGCAGGAATAAAAATAAAAGAACTTGTGCATTTAGATCGTTATTAACGCAACTGCACCTACGACTGGGTGCGTTCGACGCATATGGATAGCGTTTACACTAATAATAATGCGATCATATGGCTTTAACAAATAAATTCAAGTGAGCGCGCAAAGGCACTGATTTCACTTGGACAATTAAACATGCTATAGTCTCAACTGATTGGAGTTAATGTTGTTAAATTTCCTTCCCACATTAACTTTTAGCCGATCATGTAGCGTATCAGCTGGCAAGTGTGTTTCTGGCATTACACGCTTGAGATAAGAAAAAAAGCCATTTGTAAGGAAGGCCAATCCCATGCTCAAGGCATTCATGACCAGTGTCCTCTTTTAGTGGAAGATGGCAGCAATTAAATTTCTTCCGATTAATTATAATTTTCCAAGTACTCCTGGGGCAACCTTCATCGCAGAACAGAATTACTGTCCACAGTACAACCAAATATGAAAGAGTGTAGGCTGAAATCATTTCATAGGTATATGACCTTGAAGAACAATTAAGTCGCATTTAGGATTTCGATGGTAATATTGCAAAATCTGGCATAAAAATTGTCATTATTTAATGATATTTGAATGGCTCTTTTTCAGCACTTAATGAGACACCAGTTGTAATGGCGTTCTGTACCAGGAATGGTTACCGAGAAAGGCATAAATGAATGTAATTATCAGCAATACGAAATCAGGAGAATAAAATGAATGACGTGCTTTCTAGACCAAAAAGCGTCACAAATGGCAGAGTTGGAGCATAAAAATCTGATGCAAATGATTGGATTGGAGTTCTACTTGTAAGGCTCTGATATCATATGGTACATCACTGGAATGAGGGAAGAAAATAAACATCAATCACTGATTTAACAAAGGTAAATAGTATTTCTATTTTAATAGCATGAAATTAAATAGAACAGAATAGTTTTTCCCCATTTCGAAGGTATGCACTCTGTAAAGACGATTCTCTTCGTATATATCAGCATCACTGATCCCGTGAATACAGTGTTAAAAGAAAAATGAGGCAAACAACACGCTTCTGAGAGACCACTTTAGTAAAATAGCAAATTATATCTATTAGCACCGATGATATGTTGGTAGGCTCTGACCACAACTAGAGGTAATATACATTCCAAAGGGTCTGCTGCCATGACGAGGCAGTAAAAGGCAAAGTCGGTGCAAAGTAGCTTACCTGTCTTTTAATAAAAGGTATTCAGTGTACACCGTGTTAGGCTAACCCACCATGCACATAAAAAAAGACAGCTATTTAGCAAATAAATCAATTTTTGGGGGAATTTTAAATACGAATCAATTAAATCGCCCTGTGTTCTCACCTATTCACTGTGATTGTGTACACAAGAAATAACCACAAATATGGAAAGTCACATCAAGAGAGTAGACTCACGGAGAAATGTGATATTTAGATAATATCTCCTCACATTACTTTACTTAGCAGATGGATATGACAAATACAGGATGATTGTTAATAAGCGAAAAAACTGCGCTACTCGTTTGACGTAGTGGAAAAGGGGAAAGCCATTGGGAAGCTTTTATCAGACCTCAGGGCAGAAGCCCTTCCAATAGTCAAGGTTTTATCAATGATTGATGAGGCAAAATGCTGAAGTGTGCTCTACTTCACTAGCTCACATCGAACATGATTGAATAGAAAAAAAATGTCCCAGATGCTAGTCATGATGGAAAAGGAAAACGTCGTCGAGAAGCTCTTGTGGGAATTCAAGGCAGAAGAACTTTTAAGAGTCAAAGTTTTCGTCAGTGACTTCTACGTGTTGAAGAAGAAACCAAAATTCAGGCACAATGTTGAAGTTCCCTTGACTATACTCAATCACAGTGCTCATTCGCCATTTAATTATTGAACTACTTTGGTAAATAGCCTTAATTAAATATCGATAAATTACCCATAATCGATAGTTTAAATGCCCATTATTTCAACGTCAGTAATTTACCTTATAAAGCTCTTTTTGGTTTAAAAGTAAAAGGCAAATGAAAAAAACTAACCTTCATTCCTATTTGGAGAACAGAATTGCACTTATGCTCCCAGGAACCTTGAAGGTATGGAACTGATGGAGGCGGCCCCGCAAAATCCACCAAGATGGATATCTCTAGGATAGCCTGCACCTTGGTTCTTTCACTACAAAGGTTTCTGATGCACAAAAAAACATTTGAAGTTTATTTGCTAATGATACATGGCAGAGCTCTGGGCAACTCCTTGCCATATGTCCTTGGTACTGATCGTCTTTCGTAGCCCACGACGGTGGAAGATTCAGAAATCTGTAAGCAGGAAAAGACCAAGTAAAGCATACCACTTCTTCTTTTGTATTGCATGGTCATAGTTATGATTTCGAAGGAATGAAACTGGTAAAATAACATCCAAAAATTCTACCCGGGTGGGCATCCTACATCCTGGGCCTTTTTTCCTTGAAGGCAAGACTTCTGATACCCCAGAAAACTGTTATGAATTTGTTTTCTCATGATTTATAGCACTAGGCTAAGCAACATCTTGTAGTTGCTTAAAGACTTTTATTGCCCTTGAAGGAGATGTGTTTATGAATTTCTTATCAAAATAACCAACACCGTCTGGGGAGCCAAGACGCTTTGATTGCCATGCATTTGTCTTAGGCAATGTTGGTTTAAACAAGGTGGCAGGGATTTATTAAATTAGCAACTTTTAAGTTTTTTTTGTTGGATTCATGAGTCATTTAGAGGTTGTCAATAAATCACTTAACTCATCCTTCCCTGACTTACAGAAATGTCGCAATATAACTGTCCATCACATATGACTACAAGGATTTTATTGTTTTTGTTAAGCAAAGTATTATTTTCCCACCTCCTAAGTCGCACTTTTGTTTTTTTCTGTAACGGTTAAAACCCATGTACCTCCGAGTCAATGAATTTATTTGGGTTGGTGATTTGACAGGATAATCTAAGGAAAGTTTGGACCGAGGCCATCCGTAAACCTAATGATAAAAACTGAATGTAAGGCTACTACTGACTTTAAAAACTAGTGTTAAATGCGGCAATTATACGTCAAAGAAAATTACACTTTGTTCCTTTAAATAAAATCCTCCTGTCATCATCAGGTAGGGTGGTCATACAAGCGTTCCCTCATTCAATATGAAAAGGGAACAAAAGTTAGGGGATAACAATTTCTTAGACTCTCGGCCGGAAAATTGTGTTTTTAATTACTTCCTAACAATTAAAAATTAACTGACACAAATACCCTACACAAATCTTAGTGCCTAGCATGGAAGATGTTTCCCTTATTAAATCAAATCTTTCAAGCACCTAATGCAAATCAAATGTCTAAAAATGTCAGTTTTTTCTTTCAATAAGAGCCGCATAATACATTCATATGATACATAAGCTCTCATCGAAAAAGCAATATTTTGCACAGAATTCGCATCCCATAAATGCTAATGTTAGGTACTGTGTCTGACCAAAGAGCCGTTTTGCAATTAACAAGTTCAAATAAAATAATGTACTTATTCACTTACTAGATTTTTTTAATAACCAAAAATATTACTAGCCTCAGCATGATTGAAAGTGGTAAGGAAATCTAGCAATTGCATAACATCACAACCTTCCTAAATCCTGCACAATTTTAATAAATTTATGGCTCTTATTTAGGAAATACAACTTAGACATTGTCGGTGTTAAACACCGATTTTCTCTTTTTCATTAATCATATTTTATACTTAAATTAAATAAGTAGAATGAATTGTCAAAAACAGCGCCAGATGATGCCAATTTTTGACTAGCAAAAATCAACAAAATAATGAATAAATCAGTAAGAAAATTCGTACTCTTAGCTAATCATTATTTCTTTATCGTCTCTCATATTAAGAGTGATTTATGCATACTCGTGTCGGAGACACTCGTGTACAAATCACACGGTGGCAAAAACTTTAAAACACCAAATTTTCAGTTATAACATTTAGATATTGCATCTAAAATTATTTAGTTGAAAAATTTTTTGTTTTTTAATTTTAACTTGTTGATTTTTAGGCGATTATCTAAAAACTGCCATAGTGTGTGTTTTGTCTGCTGGTTTAAAGCATTGCTGCTTCTTGGGGCTATTTCTTGTGCATTTTAAATGTTGTAGAATCCACCTTTTTCACTCTTAGTACTTTAAATGCATGAAAATGTACTTGTATTAACACTTGGCCGTGTGCCTGGGATGGGGATATATTTACTGAAAAATTTACTTTTTCTAAACCATATCTTGTGTTTTCAGACTTGCAGTGATGTCTCTTGATAGCGTTTCCGGAAAGAAATATGGCTTGATCATCCCTAGTAAAAGGCCTACCAAAGAACCCATCCGAATTAATCCAGCAGAAAATGCTTTTGCTGCGGAGTCGGACGAAGAAGAGGATGCTAAATTCGTAAGTCTATTATTTTGTCACTCTTATTTTGCGTAGAAGCAACCGAATTTCGATGTCAAAATGGAAACCATTAAAGCCAGTCTTCGAAAGACGGTACAATTCGATCCGGACAAGTAATTTATTGTCCTTAGACAAAAATCAATCTTGAAAAAGCGCTTGAGGAAGACGCTTCTGTATTTCAGTATGACGAGGTTTACGATGAAATATCTAGAGAAAAAGACCAAAAGCTCTTGCAAAAGAGCTTGCCCTCAGCTCGAAAGGTTCGTTGGTTTCCCAGGGATTTTTTGCATTGAGATCATTAACAACTAGTCCAATGACCTTTCTTATGCAAATGATGTTTATGGGGAGTTCCATCTACTATTTATTGTTTAATCTGGTTCATTACCATTTTTGCTGTATCCAGGTTAGTTGATTTTGATCGCGGACACTTCGCACCTTTTTTATTGTGTTCTCTTTACAAAGTAAATAATTCCTTACATGAGGAATACAATAGTTTTGGTATGTTGCATGCTGGGAGGGATTATTGATGTTGATCGCCTACACGAGTTTACCTTTGGAAGCCCTTCTAGTGCACTTGCTGTCATCATTACTGTGTATCCTGCGTAGTGGGTCAGATCTCTCAAGCTGTTGAATATGTTAATTCTCCCCTCTTCGCCTCCTCGAGTGTTTTTTATTTCTGTCTAACATTGTTTTTCTTCCATTAAGGTAAGATGTTGGCACTGTAAGGACATTTAATCTGGTCGATTTCAAGATTTCAGTAGCTTCAGTCCTTTAGGAAGGCATCTTAAGGTGTATGACTTTGGATGCGTCTTTGCTATGAATGCACGCAAGGATTATAGGGCCATTAAAAGAAAGAAGTTGATGTAATGCGGCGACACTAATGTGGAGCCTGTAAGGCTGGTGTCGTTAAATCTTTTTGGGAACCGAATACTGTGCTGCTATAATATTGATAAAAAGAATTAATATTTGAAGTGGCAAAGGTTCAATGTTAAGTTGGCACGCAGGAGTAGTTCGATTTACACAGTTACTTTCCAGTCCTGACTAAGCAGGCTTTGCTCAGAGGGCACTGCTAGGATATCATAAACTGTAGGTGTTACTGGGAGGTTACTGATACCCGTTCTCTTCTTTGCAGTCCAAGTACGTGGGCAAGTTGTTGCAAGCCTCAGCAGTGCGAAAGCTAGAGAAAGAGCTCCTCACCGAGCGCAAAGCTCAGCGCGAACTAGAGGCGGAGCAGGAAAAGTACGGAGACAAAGAGTCTTTCGTCACAGGAGCCTACAAGGTAAGTTAATGTGTATTTGTAATTTAGGAAATTAAACGTTAAATAACCTTGGTTTTTGGTTTCCCCTCGATAGAAGAAGATGGCAGAGCTGCGGGAGCTAGTGGAGCGGCGTCGCGAGGAGGAAGCGAGGGAGGAGGTAATGGATGTGACCAAACAGGATGGATTGGGTGGATTCTATCGCTACATGTTTCAACAAAAGACGGCTTCGCGACGTACGCCTTCTCCTACTTCTACTTCTTTCGGGACTTTGAAACCACAAACCGGTAGTTCAGAAAAGGTTCGTCATGCCTGGAGTCGTTGATTATCTCTCTTTTTTGAAAGTCTTTTAGTACCGAACGTAGGTAGACATGCTTATCCGTTAGGGTCGATTCTACCTACTTTCGGTATATCTTCGGCACCTTCGTGCATGTTGTCTGACATGTAAGTGGGTTATTCAGCTTCCTTTTTTTTCTTCCTTCTGCAGGATATCACTGCCGAGAGGTCTTCTTCTCGAACTCAAAAATCTTCTCCACCACGTCACAGACGTGAGGATGAGGTGTGTAATTCCATCTTGTATTATTCTAGTGAAGGTCGGAATGAAATTAATGGGAGGTAATTCTACCAAATTTTGTGACTGTAACGTTTCCTAATTTTCGTATCCCTGGAAGCTTTTTTGTCTTCTAGTAAGGGTGTTACCCTTCATATCTGTTCGTTTATTCATAACCTATTTGGTGCTTTAGTAAAATACATATGTTGAAGAATGGGAAGGTGTTTCCAGTGAAATTATTAAACCACCCATCTTCTCCCCATCCCACACTTCTAAGGCACCACTCCGGGCCTGGACAATTGTGCCCTGTGTGGTGGGCTGCAAACCTGACAGTTAGTTCACTAGGATTTATTCGCCTTCTGAAAACCAAGCACCAGTTAAAGCTGAGGCCTATC